ATTAGTTCAGCAAAATAGTTAGATACTTATGGGAAGACCGGAAGACTATACGATTCAGTTGTTGCAAACAGCTGGTTAATATTTAGCAAAATAGTTAGATACTTTAGGAGAAAACTATACCATTCAGTTGTTGTAAGCAGCTGATTAATAACACCAGAGACCATTGGGCCCCGCATAATTGCACGACCTTGCCCAGCAAATCCAAATGATACCAGTTTGACACCCAAGTATTCAGTTGGGATGATGCTTTTCGTCTCTGCAATCTGGACAATCAAATAACATAAACAAGCATTTCAAAAAGCACAGCTAAAAATGAGTTTAAAGGCATTTCTATCACCATTTCTAGTAGCCTGCTCTCTGGTGAAACCATTGTTGGCAAACTGGGACCATAGACATCAGCATCGAAAATACCAACTCTAGCTCCCATCCCAGCAAGAGTATAAGCAAGATTAACAGCAACAGTTGATTTTCCTACACCTCCCTGTATATTGCAAGAAAAGAGAAATATGTTGAATAAATTGAATCCCAGGAGATACAACAAATTTTGATATAATAGCGGCCATCATAATTTGTTGAACAAAATGAATTTTACAGCAACCCAAAATGATAGCCAAAATATCTGTCAAACAATTTTATAACTTGATCCAACTTCCCATGAAACAGCATCTTCTAGTCTAAAACAAGGCTCTTACTTTACAGCTAGAAACAGCCACAATGTTTGAAATTGTCTGCAAGCCCTTTGGAAGATCTGCCCCAAAAATTGGTTTAGCAGGTTGAGCAGACATCGTGACATTCACTTTTCTAACCCAAGGAAGTGCTGCCACCACCTCATTTGCTTTCTGCTCAAACTGCAAAAAACACGACAATTATATACCCCATATTAATGCATTATGATTGTAGCCCAGATACACATTGCAAAGGAATAGGCGGTATAGAGTCAGTCAGAGGTCAGTGTATGGAATTAAGGAAATAAATTATGATAGTTCTACATGACATATCAAACATTTAACACAATGCTCCAAGGGAAAATATGACACCAGAACATACATTAGCAACAATCAAATTTGTAACTTAGAACTAATTTACCATGTCCTTGACTGGACAGGCAGGGGTTGTAAGCTCCAAGCGAAATGACACCTGAAATTAGAGGTTCAGAGCTCAGGGAGTAATGATAAATTACAAAGATACAAGAGCACAATATTATTTAAATGACCTCTCCTGAAGCTTCATCAATTTGTAGATCCTTCACGAAGCCACAAGAAACAATGTCGGTTCCAAAGTCTGGATCAATGATTTGAGACAACGCTTTGAGGACATCACTCTCAGCTTCTTTAATTGAAGATGTTGAAGCGCCCACTGAGTGTCAAAAAATAAAGACATGTTGACAAACATGACTACATGAGTGACGAGACAGAGAGGTAATGCTTACTTACAAAAATCGACTATTATTAGGCACAAGTTTATGATCTCGACAATTACAGAAAGTTCTATTAATTCTGATTTGAAAATGGGAATTGAAATTATCTTGCAGGTTAGCTCAAGCTCGGCTGTTCACTAACAGGACACCTTTGTCTTATAAATAATTGATATCTATTTCATCATATACTGAACCAGAGATCAAAGCTCTAATACCAGGTAGCAAGAAAAATAGAGTAAAAATCCTAAAACACCCAAACCAGCCAGTGTTTAAACTTCAAAGACACCATGAGGACAACAAGCCTCGTACATCCATAGGAGACAAAATCACAAAACTCAAAGACACATGTACGACAACCTGCAGTCAATACAACCTTAGAAATTGATGCTGAAAAATGCCACAACACCTAGAAGCCAAGACTCAAGATACCTAAATATGTTACTCGGACTCTTTGTTTTACCTCAAGTACCCATGTCAGACCCTCGACACTCGGACATGGGTATGACACTCGAACACTTCATTTTAGTTCAAAATCATAGATTTTTTTCACAAAATAGCCGAGTCGGACACTTGGACACATACCCGTGTCGGACATGGGTACCCGAGTCCGAGTAACATAGTACCTAATAACCCAAAAGAAACTATCAATTCACTGAAAAGTATGCAGGGCAAATCCAAGAACATGGCAAATTGTGGAAAAAGCCTTCAATCCCCATAATAGCCATAATATATAGTCAAACCAAGAACCACATATTACACCTACAACCTGAAAGAAATAGCCAATACACAAGGGAGAAATAAAATTTCTACAAACACTAGATCTAACCCATGTCATTACCATGCCAAAGCTTCCTCCAAATGTCAGAGGTTGCTGTCCCAGGCACCTCAATCTCTAAACACCAACAACATTTTGATAACCCGTTCCCTTCGCCAATACCTTTTTAAATTATTTGAACTACACAATCCATCTGCTGCACATACTACGACAACTACAAAAAAATAACTATCTAAAATACCAATAAAATTTTCTGTCAACATATATCATCAAGGTACAAGCACTGCTTCCAAAATCATTTATCCCTACACAAATTTTCGAAGCAGCATACTAGGAATGAGAAATTAATTATTCACCCATTGCTTTTCCACAGGACCTGCTCCCTAATAATTATACTATTAAGTTTTAAATTTTGGAGCAACCTCTAGGTTAATAGACCATATCAATGTCGTGTAGTCCCATAGAACAAGTATTACTCGAACATAAGCTCTTGGAGCTTGGTGTTATCCCTTTGATAGTGTAGGAATTGAACTCATATATCTTCAAATTGTGAGCTGAAATCAAGGCCTCTATGCCAACCTCAACAAGGATTGTCCATCTACATTCAATACACATTCTATCCATGATGCTTGCACTAGGACAAGATCGCCAATCTCGGATTTAGATCCAAAAATCTAACAAAAAAAATTCTTAACTTAAAGTGAAAATTCCGTTATGAACGCCATTGCCATTGTCAGGACTCATGGACAATGATGGATTCCTTTGTTGTACATGTACATGTATTTTAAATAGTAATAAATTTTCTTTTCCTATTTCAATTTTCAAGTGTAATACAGATGAAGTATCCAAACATCATATCATACTATCAAGTATCAACAAGGTTTCACCCAACAAAAACCATCATCCATAGTTGATAGTTCCATACTTAACACTACTCAAATAAAAGGTTAGTTGTATCTTCTTATGTATTATTCCCTCTATAGTCTATTCCACATTATTTGACCACTTAACTAATGCTTTTCATTTTTCCACACCATCCATCACCAATAATATTAATGCATTATTTCTATTACTTGTCAACTCAAAATTGCAATGCCAATTTCAAGAAATTAATCAAATACTAAACATAATAGAATCATATATACCTTCAACAGAAGAAGCTTTAGCTGTAATAGAGCTAAAATTAACTTGATTATGCAAAACCCATGTAGATTTTATCTGCCTTTGCTGATGAATTAAACCATTAAATACTAATCCTGCAAAAAAAATCATCAAAAAGTTTGCAACTTTATTTAGCAGAAATAAAATTAAGACTGAAAATTGAAGTGGGATTTAAATAATTACCATTTTTGTGCTGAAGATTTTTGGAGGGTTGAAAGGAAAGATTAGGAGGAATGGGTGCATGAAGTAAATGCATTTTTTATTTTCCAGGAAAAAAATAATGCAGAATAAAGAGGAAAGAGAAAGTATGAAGTTTAAAGCTTAAAAATGTCAGAAAATCATCATCTGAAAATCTAATCTTTGTTCCAAATAAAACGACGTCGTTGGGTTTGGCTTGTTTTTGTTTTGTATTATCGGCCGTTAATATTGTTGGCCCCACGGCGCCTTTTTCTTGTGGCTAACATATTTAGGTTTTGGCCTTCGGGGATAGAATTGTGGCTAACATTTCTTGCATCTTCTAATCAAAGAACGGATCCCCTTTTTAATTTCGTTTAAGATAACGGGCTCATCTTGTTTATAGAGTTAATCATGAGTCGGGTTGAAAAGGCTCGGCATGTTCATAACTTAAGATATACTTATTCGGGTTTTTTATAACGATATTGTATAAGAGGTATTTTCTTTACGTAAGAAAACAAGTACGAAAAAATAAACATGTTAGGTGAAAAATTATGCAATGCAAGCAAAACGACCAACTTATTAGCTAATAATTCATATAATCAAAGAAATGTACTATCGGTTAAGCCATTTCTCTTAATCTTTCTCCTTTTTTTTTTTAAATTAAAGCAATGGACACATGTGAAGTCCATATGAATTTTTGGGTGACACATCACTCGCTCTTAGTAGAGAAGTCATCTCTTATTTTAGAAGTCACTCCCATTTGCAAACTTCAAATTAGGCACTTTCATTTCTTACATAAGATAATAAGTGTTACTCCCTCTATCCCTATTTGTTTGCTCCATAGACAAAATATGTTTTATTAAGGATTGAAATAAAACATTGCAAGTGAATGATGATGTATTTATCTTTTTCACTTTGATAAGTGTATGCAAGTGAGTTTAGTGGTGAGGGCATGTTACTATATTAGAAAAAGACACAATATTTAAGGACATTCCAAATAAAAATATGGAGCAAACAAATAGGGATAGAGAGAGTATCTTTTAAAATTTCTCTCTTGAAACCCTCCAGAATCCCCCATTATTAATGATCACCGTATAAATTTTCGCTTTTCTGAGAAAAATGAAAACTTCTCAAAAGTCAAAATTACTATTTATGTGACAAAGTTAAATGTGTTTACTATTCACATAGTAGAAATATTGAAATGCTTTTGGTGACTCTAGTGCTTCTTATTCCACAACACAGTTACAATAAGGAAGGTCAATGGAAATTAAGAACCCAAAAGACCGACAATTTCATTTATGCAATAGATGTTTGGCAAAATGGCATAACTATTTTCCAATGACTATTAATTTGTGAGAAAATTGTGTCCAATTTATTGAGGGTCGTAATATAGTGCGCATTGACTTGCTAAAGAAACAAACTTTGCTATATGCCTATAAATAGAGGATGAACCATTGACAAATTGCAAAGCATTAGAATTAAGTGAACAAACACAACAAAGAAAATGAGTATGAGGGCAGTTTTATTCGTGAGCTTTGTGATTAGCCTTATCTTCTATGTCGCGAATGCTGATACCGGGTTTGCTGTTTATCATAATCACCGTACTCGTAAGTATTTTACACTATTCACATACGTGCGTAGTCTAATTTGAATGTTAGACTATCCTTAGTAATTTATACAAAAAAAACGTAGCCTTGTGAGTTAGACTCATCTCAAACTCTAAATATATATTTATCAATAAGTAATACGAATTAGTTCACAATTACAAGACTGACTGAAAAATATTAATAGTTAAAGTTATGCAAGCGTGAAACTTAAACATATTTTTATAATGTTCGAAATGTGTACAAACAGCCTCGGCATGTTACGGAAGCCAGGACAATGGACCATGGATAACAGGAGTAAGTAATGGTCATTGGAAAAATAGAGGAGCATGTGGAAGGTATTTCAAGGTTACTTGCATAGGAGGAGCAAATCTAGCTCCTCACCCTTGCAAACGAGGCAGTGTTACTGTAAAAGTTACTGACTTGTGCTCTAGTTGTGCTGGTGATCTTAATCTTTCTCAAGAGGCTTTCATTGCAATTGCTGATCTTAGAGCTGGCAAAGTTCGTGTTCGATACGACCCGTAAGCATACACATACACAATCAGCTTAACCAATTTATATATGTATTGAATTTTGGGAATATACATAGTTATTATCTTGTGATTAATTCTGTTTTGTCTAACTATTTGCAGACTATGATTAGAAGTTTATATTGCTTATCAAAGGCGGAAGGCTATACCGAGATTATCATACAAATATATCATATGCAAAAATTATGATGGTTAAAAATAATGTAATGCAGAAGCTTAATATAAAGAGCATGCTATATTGATAATGATTGAAGTGTGTTAATGTCAATCAAATTATAAACCGTTTTTACACTTCAAATTCGTATATTATGTATGATGACAAATTTATAAAAAGAAAAATGTTTGTAATTTCTTATGTTAAAACATGAAGCATCAATCACCAAAGATACCAAAGAAGCTTTAACTTATTCTACTAGTCATCTAAGTTATATTGGCTATCCCAAATAATGTCACACTAATTGTTTGATCGCGCACAAAGCATGATGCTTCCAACATAGGCGCGTAGACTAAATAGATAACACTCTCCTTTAGAAATTTATGAACAACATCAACAATTCGCAAGCTATGAGAACCAGCTTAACGAACAATGGATGACTGGGATGAATACCAAAACTCAATACAGGAGCATGTGGGAAAGCATGAACAGAATCAGAGAAATTTAGCTCCTGGCCCAAGCAAAGGAGGCAAGTGTTATTGCCAAAGATACTGCTCACTGAGCTAGGTGACTGGTGGCCTTCACCTTTTTCCGAGCAGATGGTCAGATGTACCCCACACGGTACACCCACACGAGCTTTGATCATTTGGATCTCTTCCAAATGAGCTAAAAAATTGTATAGGGCATACTCTAAATAGGAATTGCTCCTTGGCTGCCACACATTCTTGCTGCTTTTAGTTCTATTTACATGTCTACCATCTAAATAAAACTAATGACCAAAATATGTGAGCTGAAAAGACCGATTATTCTACGTTGCAAGCAATATTTGTCAACAATTTTTAATATCAAAGAGCAGAAAGAAAGATTATGGGTTTTGGTACAATCTAAAACTGAAACTCACAAAACCCAGCAAATGAAAAAAAAAAAAAAAATATCCTCTGATACTTGTGAAAACAGACTAATTAATTAGTAAATTGAACAAGAATTAACGCATCCATTAAACCATCCTTCCTTCAATGAGAGAAGGCAACAATAATTGTCTCAATGTGAATTTTTCTACAAATGAGGTCAAGGAGAATCTAACAAATAACTCCTAAAAATATGCAATTATCGATTATCCACTGAAATGGAATCCGCTTCTGGAGGAAAATCAGAAACTGCTTCCTAAGAACTGTATCCTAAACATCTGAAATGTATCCAAGATATTCTCCGGTCCATAAAATTAAGATTTAAGGAGGAATGCCTGCAAAGAGCGAGAAAAAATCAGTCAGAAGTCCAAATGAAGGCAAGGGTAACGAGAATTTAAAAGAATAAAAACAGCTTCAAACATCTTAAGTTGAATAACGACGCACATAAACTTACTAGTTTAACTATTCCTGGGCTTCTTGCTAAATATGACATCTCCAAAGCTGTCAAACAGCTGCCCCGCTAAGCTCTTTGGATCATCTACTATGGTTTGAATATAGGTGTGAACAACCCGACGGTCTTGTTCGGTAGATCTTAAGCTAAACCAAGTCAATAATTTCAATCTATGTTCCGGTTTTATGTAACCATGGCACTCCAAAAACCGCATCGTCTTTATGCAAAACTCAAAATTACCATCCAGGGGACCGGGCCCTCCGGAGGCCCGAAATGGCGACCCATTTATCAGAGTGCTGTCACAATCATGGATCTCTTCATTTGAACTTGAGGCCCTCTTCCGGTGATTGTCTGTCAAGGAATCAACAGCACACACATCTCCGTTTCGAATGGTAGCCCAAGCCTGAGAATCATCACTTGGCCCACTACCATTTGACCTAGCCAGCCCAAGCCCATTCTTTTCAACATCATGAGAAGCAGCATCATCGTCAGGCCCAGTACCACGCTCCAGTGTACACCCATTATCTTCATCCCTTGAAGACTCAAGAGGTGGGGTAAGGTCTTCATTTAAATCAGGAACTGAAACAACATTTAGGTCAAGCTCACGAGAGACGGGTGCAGGTGACTGGTGATCTTTAGGAGATTCACAACTTGTCACTTGACAGCATTGTTCTACATCAGCACTGCAGAAGCCTTCAAGATAGCCCTGTTCTTGAGCCCAAGCTAGTTGCAAGACTTTCCCAAGGTCCCGCACCTTAAATCCAGAAGATGACCGAGCCAAATTTTGGTTGGAATGCTCCTTTGCAGTTGAGGAGCTCCCCTCAACAGTGGGGTTTTCCTTCTTACAGCCTCCTGTGGTGGGATTCTTATTGTTATTAAGTATCTCTACACTCTTGGTAAAACACTTAGCCTCAGAGTGACCTAGATCGCCAGCTTCCGTGTAGGAAATTATTCTGAAGGTGTACTCAGTGCAAGGCTCGAGATGTGTTACAGAAATCCTTCTTTTCTCCCTTGTAAAGATGGATTGAGGCTCCTTCGAAAATGTCCCCTGCCTGCTTTTGCAGTACCATAGCTTGTAGCCTTTGATGGACTCAGTTATTGGTGTGGGGATATCAATCAAAACTATTACAAGTGAAGAAGAAGCAACTTCTTCAAAAAGGAACCTGCATGCAGCTGGAAGTGAATCCACTGCCAAGTTTATGTCCCAAAAAAAACAAAAGTTAATAATTCATTATGATAGACCTTGGACATTCCTCGGCCAAGGAATTGGAAAACAATGAAGGTTTTATGGGTTCTGACCTTCGTAATTTGGACTCATATTGGAAACATTCGAAAGGCGTTCATTAGCCTTATCGATTGCATGTGAACAGAGCTTTTGTACATCCACAGCAACAGCAAGCCTGCTAACTATGCCTCTAGCCATTTTGACGGAGTCTCCATTCATGGGACCCACTTCTGCCTCCAACTTTGACTTAGCTTCTGCAACAATATCATGGAGGTCCTTAAACTTAGCTGTGCCATTAAGGAGCCTGTAGCTCAAAAATATTCTATAACAAAGCACATCGACACGTCGAGCATCCTTTGCTATAGCCAATTGCTTTTTCCAACATCTGCCAACAGTAAAATTCAAGCATATCAATTGAGCTGAGCCCAGCAAACAATAATTAATTTATCTCAAGGTACTCTTAGCTGCCGTTTAATAATTACAAATATATAAAGAATATAAAGTATAATCTGAGGCTAAAAGTTCACTTAATGAAGCAAAGTACCTACCCAAGTACCCCAGAGACTTTGCCGCAAGAAGCACAGCAGTAACTCCCATCCAAATGCATGTATTGCCCAAGATTCACAACTCCCAGTTTTTCTTGTTGAAATGCACACTCAATGTGGCATGATAATCCACAAGAATCACCCTGCCCAGACTCAGTTTCGCAAACCAACCAAAGGCTAGGATCTTTATTATCATCAAATTGGTGACAAATGCAACAAGAGCACCTCCGACAGAACGCATCATCTATGGACAAAATAGCTCTACACGCAGAATTTTTACATATCCAAGTACTAGAACACCCAAATTCAAAAGATTGCTCTGTTTTCGGCATGAATCGAGTAGGATTTTCTCCCTTCCTACTTTGCTTCCTAGAAGCAGAGTTATAGGAAGAGGAAGCAGTCTTCCTGCTCTCTGGATTTTTCACATTTTTTGTGCATGCTTTCAGCTGCTGCTCAATCATACTTCTTTTCAAAGAGGATCTTAGCTTCTATTCTTTGCCAAAGAAGGTCTTCAATAGCTCTCTTTAAACCAGGTTTCAAATATTCTTTTCGAAGTTCTAGGCCTCTAGAAGCATAACATGTAATTCCCTTCTTCACCGGAGTGTTTTGCACACTAGAGGAATGACTAATACCTAAAAGCAAAAAAGGAAAATGAAGCCTTGAACTTAAACAATAGCAACAGGAACAAATGAAAATTCAATATGCATAAATCCTCCCATAAACAGAAAGATATGCAGATGTGGCATCCTCATTCCTATGTGACTTGTACTATTTATCAGGGCAAGCCATTCCTGAGTAAGCGAGGAGACAATTTATATATCAACCCACCCAGCCCAAGGCACTTTATAATTAGTAAGGCACTGCACTGTGCAAGTACTACGTACTTAAGTAATCATGCAAAATATGAAGTAAATAGGGAAGGTTTTGTACTGGAGAGGATGATGCAAAGAGAGAAGTATAAACAGGGAAGGTTTTGTAAATAAATAAAATTGTATTGGGCAAAGACTAACATAGTCTTTTCTTCTGTATCGTAACCAGCCACTCTGAGGTCTAGGCTTGCAATGCTAAGTTAATTTCAAAGCATCGGTATTAAAATAAAATATATAAGGCACCCTGAAATTTTTTTTTCCTCCCATTTTTACCTCCCCTCTTAATCTTCATATAATATATTTCAGATGACCATCACAGAAAGACAAGTAGCGAAAAGACATGAAGCACAACCAAGAAAATTTTCCAGCAAACTCAATTAGCAGATAAACAAATGATCATCATGCATCGGGAACTTAAAGAATTTAGGATCCAACTGATGAATCCATCTCTCTGCTAATATACAGGCGTAACAGTTCATCCTATTAGAAACATTTGGTCAAAACACAAATAAGAAGCATAGGAGTCGCTAGGGGTGTCCAATATTCGGATAGAAACCAAAATCCAATCCAATCTAAACAAAATTACTAATTTGGATCGGATCCGAACTTAATCGGATCAGACTGAATTTTTTTTTTTTTTTTTGAAAATTCGGATCGGGTCAAATTGACCAAGTTTGGATCCAAAAAACCAAATATGAAACACTGATTTTAAAACAAAGAATGTTTATAATAATCTAAAACTATGTTTTCAATACTTGTATTAATTATGTACAACTATGTTTTCAAAACTTGAATTTTTATAATCGCATTAGGCTCTAAAAATTTACAACGTATTTTAATTTGGATCTTTGGATCGGATCCAAATAACCAAAATTTTAATTCCGATTGGATCGGATTGGACTTGAAAATCAAAAACCGAATGCACACCCCTAAAAATCACAAAGAAAAGGGAACCCTTGCATAATTTTGATAAACAAAGAGTAATAAACTCAAGTGGTACCCACAAAGTTCCAAGCCAAAAGACCAATGAACCATTAAAACCAAGCCAACATGCTCCTGCAAATCTCAGTCATTGGTTCAGAATATATAAAAATTAAAAATATATATATGAAAATTCAAGAACAATAGCACACCTTTTTGGTACACAAACAGATCCAATTCTTCTCAAGAAAAAGAGATTTTCCGATTAATGTAATTTGACGTTTTTAAATCTGTTAACGGTGTATTTATGCTCAAACCAAAAGCAGAGAGGGGGTGTGGGGGTAGCAACAAGTATGAAAAAACAAACAGATTACACAGGATGGAAGGACAAGAAGAATTTTACATATGCATATCTAGCAAAAGTGAAAGGAAACCAAAAAAACAGAGATTACATATGCATATTCAGCGAGGCAGGAATAAAAAGCAAAGGGGGGGGGGGGGGAAGGTGAAAAAATAATCAAAACAAGCAAAGTGTACCTGAAACTCTAAAAGAGATCCACTGCCAATTTAGAAAAATTACAGTAACCAAACAACCCCAGAGAAGGCACTAAAAAATGGAAGTTCTTGACAGGGTAGCAATAGCGGAGGAAACGAGGCTCTTATAGACACTCCAAAGAAGCTGAAGCGTCGCGATTATTATGATTAGCTAATATCTTTTTTTAAAAAAGCAAGAAATATGCTCCTATGTTTTGCAGGATATGTACAATGTACCTTACAGCAATCAAAATTGTAAATCACGAAATTTGCAAGAAAAATAATGTTTCTATGCGACAAATGATGAAAAAGAGAGTTTTTTTTTTTTAAAGGAAAGAGAGAGAGAGAAATCATGTAAAAATTGAAACTATCAAATTAAGAGGCAACATTACTCAAAATGGACGATTTGGTAATATCGGTATAGCATAAATGGCTGGACAAGTTAGGATATATACACTGAAACATCTTAAAGATAATCAATTGACAGCTCATTGTAAACCTCTTGTAACCTCCAATGAATCCAAACACGAGAATTGGGCAAAAGAGCGAGGGAATGGTAGAAGGCGTGACCACAATAACAGTTGCGGAAAGGTAGAAGCAACATGTCATCAATGTTACATCACATGATTCACACTTATATAAAATCATAAGTTCCAAAAAAAAAAAAAAAAAAAAAAAAAAAAAAAAAAAAAAAAAAACAATTTAAATAAATTTTTTTAAAAAAATGATAATTTCGTGCAACTTGTATGTTTGTGCACCATGTTAGGGTAAAAGAATAAAGTGACAAATTTATACTTCGTATTTTGGTAGACAACCAACAATAAAGTGATCCAAATTTAAAAGAATAAAAGCGGTTTTAAGACATTTGACTTTTTGACAACAAAATTGGTGACTGGCTTATGCAAAAGTGACTCTAGTGCACAAAATTAAAAATATACTCCCTCGTCCCATTATTTCGTGTCTGTATTCCTTTTTGGTTGTCCCAAAATGTTGAGACTGTTTCTAAAGTTAGCACATAATTATTACTTACTGTACTTATTATCTTTCCCATACAAGACACACATTTACCTAAAAAGTCATTACTTATTATTTTTTTTCATACAATATTCTTTACTTTTTATTATTCCCATACAATATTCTCTATTTTTTATCTTTTCAATAGAATATTTCCCTACTTCCAACATTTTCCTTAATTACCGTGTTTTTTTAAAAAGTAGGCACGAAATTATAGAATGGAGGGAGTATAATTTTTTAATAAAACTGCCTTGCTATCACAAGACTAGTTTGTGGAAGGGTGGAAAGAGAAATCGATATGGGTCACACGCTTACCATGACTCTTAAAAGTGATCTTAGAATTACGAAATATTTTCTCCATTTCATAATATTAGCAACCGACTGACTTACGTGTCAATGCACAACCTTAACTACATATTAATGAGTAATTTAAGGTTGATACAACTAAAATATATATATTGAATAATAAAAAATATATATAATACATAATAACATACGTATTTATAAATTGGTAAAAAAAAATATATAGTCAAAGTACGTGTAAGGATAGTGCAATGTTTTTAGCACTCCTTCATTTATTTAAGTGTTAGAGTTTCACCGACACGAAACTTAAGACTTTAAGTTGAATTTATAAAAACATTAAGTACTTGTATATAAGTGGGGTAATTGGGAAATTAAAAACTATAGAATAATGAAAGTGAGTGAATAGTTTATCCAAAAGTAAAGGGATGAGATGTAGGAAAAAAAAAACCGTAAGAGTGAGGACAAGTGAGTGGAGAGATATAATTAAAATTTTTGTGGAATATATTTTTTCTAAGTGATGTACTTACAAAAAATAGTCCAACTTAAGGAAACATCGCACTTAAAAATAATCAGTGGGAGTATAAGCTAAAAATTTTGGATAATAATAACTAGGCAAAAGTTGGTCGAAACCAAAACGTCCTCAAACATTCAAGTTCTCACCGCAAACACGAAACCAATAGAAATCTAGTGCGAGATTGACCCGGATCAAAGACTTGTCGAATAATGCAGTTTGAAGGATGGCTGGTTCATTTGGAACACGCTAAAGTATTAGTAAAGTGCTCCCCGTACCATTTGAATTATTTTTTTTCAAGAAATTAGAATCTAAAATTCTCATAAGTTTGAACAATGTTACTTAATTTAAATAGGTTTGAAGGTTACACATAGTAGTGGTCGCAAAGTCGAGGTTCATAAGCAAATTATTTTTCCCGTGAATTAAGTCAAATGGTGTGAACCTTGTTCAACTGTGTGTATGAACCTTCGAACCTATTTCAATTTAAAAACATTATTCCAACTTATGAGAAATTTAGTCTAAAGTTTACAAGCAAAATTTGCCGAAAGAAAAAATTCAAATAGCGTATGAAGCACTTTACTAAATCTTCTAAACCTTGTCCCAAATGAACCAGCTAGCCTAAATTACATTATTCAACAAGTTTTTAACGCATTTTATTCGGGTCAATCCCATTTCTATTGTTTTCGTGTTTGCAAGTAGAAAATGAATTATAGCCCAAAAATCTTCAATTATTTTGTATTTTTCAATTATTTTCGATTATATATAAATAAATATTTGAAAAATAAGGTCAAAATAATTCATTGACATGGGTAGGGATGTCAATGGGGCGGGGCGGGTGTTAGCCTTCCCATCCCCACCAAAAATTTTCATCCTCATCCCTGCGGCGGGTTCAAAATTCATCCCCATCACCACCTCGTAGGATACAATTCCAAAACCATCCAATATAATGGATATAGATTACTTAAAAAAAAATGTTAATACTCCGTATTACACACTTTTTTAGTTAAAAGATTAGTGTATTACAAATTATTATATTTACTATTTTATTTTACATTTTTTTAAAAAATTCAAAAAAAAAATAGTATAAAAATATATAATTTTGCATTTAAAAATATATAGACGTGGGGATGAGGCGGATATAAAGTGGGGCAAGTGGAGCGAGATGGGGATGGGGCGGGTTCAATGTAAAATCCACCCCCGACCAGCACCCATGGAGGGTATGATTTTTATCCCCATCCCCACCCTACCACCCACCAAACCAAGACCCATCCCGGGTCTCCTACTTGACCCGCCCTACTGACATTCCTAGACATGGGTGCAAAATTTGAATGTGTTAATTATTGTGGGATAGAGGGAGTACTATTTTGTAAACATAAGTTTTTTATTCTTATCTTTTCTAACAAAGTCTAAAATAAATACTATGTAATAAGGTGACTAAACAAGGCCTAAGAATTCATTTTATAAAATGAAACTCCTTACCTTAACATTTCTACGCTGAACTTATTTACCCTTGTCAAGACTTGCTTATCTTACCTATGAATTAAAAAGTTGAAACCCTAATCCGAGCACACAAACATAGAAGGATTTTTTTTTTTTTTTAAATGTTAGAAGAACAAGGCCGATACAGGCATGCCTACTGAATTCCAATCATAAGTGGCAACATCTCCTTTCCCTCGGTGACCAACTACCTCCCCCACCCCCCCTTCTGCTCTTCTCCAAACAACCCTATCAGAACAAGATATTTGAGAAACAAGAGTATCGTCTTATCATTTTATTGTTCCTGTTGGTGCTTTCAAATCTCTTGAGTCTAGACTATAGATACCAAAACAAACTAAAAATTACTTTATGGCTTCATCCTATCAAATCAATCATAAATTCATAATTCATATATCATATGAAGCAAAACTATGAGGCATTGTACCTAGAGTAGGGAATTGATCTTCCAATCTCATGCTCTAGACTTCAAGTTCTCAACTCCAACTAATACCCATCCATTGAATAATGGATCTGTTTGATATCCTTCAATAGTCATTCCTTCTTTCTTTTTCCTTTCCTTCCTCCTCTTTACTACAAGAATGGAAAACTGTGTTAAGGCGATACCACACAAGAACTAAACCTAAATCCAAGAATTTAAATCAGGAGAGATTCTAATTAGAAAGAAAGAACTATGATAAAACAGCCTGCATATTGATCCAGCAAGTAGCAAAGACAAACATAGGGAGCAAAGAACACGAATTTATTATATTTCCCAATTAAAATATTCATAAACATGCATTAGCTACAATGGGTTAAGCATTTCCCTAAAAATTAGACAAGTAAAGAGCAAACTCTGTAAATATTGAAGTCCAACATATTAATCAGACACTCCCAAAACACACCAATTCAGATTCGAGAGAAAAGACATTGAATACATGTTTCTGGTTCTCAAAATAGAAGTGTGAAATGGAAAAAATCACTTAAAGAATAAAATAGTTAAAGGAAACATTTCATTAAATTCCCATGTCCCTTGAATTTCAATCTCGGAGAAGGAGAAATAACTAACCCCCTACCTTCCTTTCTCTAGAATTATCTACAGTCAAAAGCAGGATCAATAAATATCTAATAAAAATGTACAGATCCTTTTAAATTACTGGACCTAACCCTTCAATTCAAGACATCACATGATCATGCTATTAATCCAAAGACTAATTTAGAAACAAATCAAGCTGAACCAGAGTTCGCAAGCAAAAGCAGTCTCTTGGAAACATTTATTGCAATAATTGAAACAAAATAAGCTTCGTCCCAATGCACCTCCATAAGTAATAAACATACATGCTAACAATATAATTTCATGCTACAAAATAAACATAAGGCTATAAATTCAAGCTTTTCCTTGCCACTAACACAGGTCAAATATGGAAACACAGGACTCCTGAAATCAAGACACAACCAAACAATGCACAACCCCAATTCAATTTGGACACAATCTCACACAGTAACCTTAATTCTTAAACTCTTAAGACCCATACCCGGAGCCGGGCAGCCGCACTGGGTCCGGGAAAAAAAGGTCCATTATCATACTTCCATCATATAATACAGGGTTATAAAAAACACCCTTTAACACATTAGCAATCAAATTTGACTGAATTGCCAAATTAGGCTCCATGAATAACATTAATTCCATCTCGCTTCACATTATTAACGTAAATTGCACATAACAAGACTCTAGCAACAAACCGAATCGTAAAATCTTTCATAAATTGAGTAATTACAACCAAAATTTCAATATTCCAGCATAAAAGATCCCTAAATTGACTATACTAGCAATTAAATCAACGATAAACCCTAGATTGTGAAATTGATATTCGATAAATTAAAATTGATAAATAAGTTACCTCAGAAGCTGCTTCAATGGAGGAGAGGAAGCTCCGAAGCTGCTTCAATGGAGCATTAAGAGTTCGCGCTTCAATGGAGGAGAGAGAAAGGGAGAGAAAGGGTTCAGCGTAAAAGTGAAAAGCTCTAAAAGGAAATTAAATAAATACGTACGAGAAAATTAATGACACGCTTAAATTTATAATTTATGTCAACCGTCGGATCTATATAAGCAGTAGTATCAACGGTCATATATTTTCAGTTAAGTTTTGTACTTCCTCGTTTTACGCATTAAAAATATACCTAAATGGAAAAATTACTCCGTAAATTTTAATACACATTTTTTTTTGAGAAATTCTCATTAATACACTTCAGGTTTTGACTTTTCCCAGCGGTGCCACATTTTTTTTTTTTGACTTCCTAATGATACACCCAAGTTTATGACTTACTAACTCACGTGATTAAGTCTGTTAATCAGACGTTAATAAGTTAGTAAATTTAGGTTAAAATATAATTTTGTAAAAAAACAAAAGAAAAAGACTAATTTACCCCCTTTTAAACCCTTCCCTCCAACGATCAAAACCCTTTCCCCTTCCATTTATGTCGATTTGACATAAACCAAACTCACTTTCAAATTTCATCTCTTTCTCCTCTGCTCTCTGTTGAATTCACGAAGGGTTTGCAAGGGAAAATTTGCTAATTTTGTTGGTCTACAAAGCCATTAGAGGGAAATCTTGCATAATTCAGGTACTTTAGCACTACTACTGTTCATTTATCCATGATTTGGTGCACTTGTTTGATGTTCTGTTTTTATATGCGATTTTAGGTTTAATTCATGATTTTAATGATGTATATTTGTGCGATTTTAGGATTCTTTCATGTATATTAGGTGGGGGCTTATGTTTGTTCAATTATTGGTTTAGAATATGGAATTAAATTGAATGAAATGCCATGATCATGTTTGATTGATTGTTGGATAATTGAATTGGAATTAATTTGCATGTTGTAAGTGTGTGCATTATTTACCTTATTTTGCAGAATGGGTGATGTTGTGATAAGGTTTCATTACTGGGATAAACATGTTGATATTGATGTTGACTTAGATAGATGTAATTTGATGGACTTGAATATGGATTTTAAGGACACTGCTGCATTAGACACTGAGTGATTAGGGGATTTTTATCCACCAATCACCGTTAGACAAGTGGACCAACCAGGTTCCGCCACGTGTCCTTCACGAAGGCCAACGGGAGCCTGCCACGTGTCAGTCACAGATACGTCCTCTACGGACCAATTAAGACACGCCACGTGTCCACCCATGCCAAATGGGAAAACCGGCCATCAAGGCCCAATCCAGTTTAGAGGCCCGATCAGCCCTAGGTTTACTTTAAACCTAGAGAGTTGCACGCTTCTCAAGGCTATAAATACTTAATTAATCCTCATTAGTTAGGTAATTGAACAAATCAAAAGAACTCAAGCAGAGAAGAACAGAGTTATTACGGAACATCGACAACCGGCTAATCTCGCTAACGACGCAGATTACCAACACTAAGCACTCTCACCTAGAGAGATCTTATTACTTTAATTTCCGTATTAATTACTCCTTAATCAGGTACTAACTTGACCGTTGGAGGCGGAGCTCTCAGGAGTCTCCGTTATTTTGCAGGTACAGGCGTCCGGTTCCAGTCTCGGAATTGTAACTCTCCCGCAGGACATCAGAAAACCCCGAAACATTTGGCGCCGTCTGTGGGGAGAGTACTTCAGAGATGGCATCCAAGTCTGTACCGACTCCAGAAGAGAGGCGTCCCCTAGACGACCCTCAAGTTCAGTCGGACCATGATACCGAAAGTGAATTTGAAGTTGAAACTCATACAGCTCCAGACGGGACCCTAAGGGCCCGACGTACCCGTCATACCGAAATGAGGGAACGGGAGCATCTTCAAACAGGAAGCGAGCCAGCAGGCGCACCGCTTGCTCGGCAACAGCCGACTGATGGGTCTGCTCCCATCACAAGGAACGAACTCATGACCTTCATGAGGGACTTCAAGGGAGAGATTCAAGAGTTGATCAACAAAAAACCGCCTGCTTCAGTCAAAGAGCAGTCGGCCAAGAAACATTCCACTTCACTGAAGAGGAAGCCAGTTCAAGGGCGAGAGGCGACTCCCCATCCTAAATCCAAGAAGCGGGAGCCACCTGCTCTTGATTTCACAAAACTCCGTTATCCTACGGGAAATAGGAAGCCGGTTCGTCATATTCAGGCGGACGGGTCTAAACAAACGTTCACAGATGCTCGGCACCTGCTAGAGCAGAAGAAGAGTGACCGATTATCAGAGTCGGCTTCTACTTCAAATTTTCAGGACAGTTTGCGAAATGCCTCGATGAGGCATACTCAGTCGTACCATGAGAGTCAGTCAGGCGGCACCTCCCGTCAGTCCGGCTTTCATAGTGCCCAGGCGGTACCAAACTTACCATTTGTGCCGCAACAACAGTATTTTATGCAGCCACCCCCATTTGGTGGACCTGCAGCAAAAAACGTCCAACCTATGGACTGGCAGCTACGGTTGCTTAGACTTGGTGAACAGCCGTCGGCCTTCTCCAAGGAAATTACTGAAGCCGCTCAGCCGGCCAAAGTGAAAAATGTACTAGTAGGCGCCTATGACGGCACTACTAACCCAGAAGACCATCTGATGGCATTCACCAACCTGATGTACCTTCAAGGGTTGGATGATCCCACTTGGTGCAAGTGTTTCCCAGCGACTCTCAAGGGAATTGCACAGCAATGGTTCGGCAACCTGCCGACTGGTTGTGTAAACAGCTTCAGGACGCTTGCTTACTTATTTGCCTCCAACTTCGCTATGAACATCCCTGCGAAGAAAACGACCCTTGATTTGGGAACAATTCAGCAGGGCGAGAAGGAGGGGCTTCGTTCTTACATCAGGCGGTTCAACCTGATGAGAATACAGATTCAAGGGTTACCGGATGAGGTAGCTTATACTGACTTTTTTAGAGGTCTCAAAGATGGGTCTACCTTCAAATTTGATTTAGTTCGAAAAAGGGTGGCGACTCTTCAAGAGGCCTTGATTGAAGCAGAAGCCTATATACAGGCGACTGATCTGTGTACGATAAAACAGTCGGACGGGAAGAGGTTCGACAAAAGAGAGGGCCGACAGAAACAGTCGTCCAACAAAGATGAGAAAAGAAAAGAGGTATGGGCGGCTGACTCCTCTAAACAGCCGGCCCAGAAAAAGAAAAAAGCATTCAAACCATACTCCCCAAAGTATGTGTTTAACAAGGATAACCAGTTTATCCTAAAAGAAATAAAGGGACGGTTCTCAATTGAGAAGCCGCTCCCCATGAAGGGTTCTGCGAGCAACCGGAACCAAGACAAAATCTGTGCTTATCATGATGACGTTGGTCATCACACCAATGACTGCATCAGTCTCATGCGGTACCTAGACCGCTTGGCTGATCAAGGTGATCTTGACACTTATATCAAGAAATCTACGGGGAACACTTCCTCAAAAAAGCAGTCGGCCAAAAAGAATCAACAGGCCGACAGTTCCGATACAGATGATGCAGTCGTCTACACCATTGCAGGCGGCTTCTCAGGAGGCGGCCCCACTATTAGGGGCAACAAAGATAATATAAGGCGGTTAGATGTAAACTCCGTTCACCAAGAACGGCCGTCCAAATATACATTTCCTGAGATTGTCATCACTGAGGAGGATCTAGGAGGAATAAGGGGGCCGCATGACGACCCTCTCGTTATTGAATGTAAAGTGGCCAACCAGAGAGTTGGCCGAATCCTCATAGATACCGGGAGCTCCTCAGATCTCATCAGCAGCAAATGTCTGTCAAAACTGAAATATCAGACGGACTGCATACATCCGGCCTCCCACCCTTTAATAGGGTTTGGGGGAGGAGTCGTCCATCCACTGGGACGAGTAGATCTACCCATTCGCCTGGGCGAAAAAGGGGAAGGACGACACATGGTAGTCCGGTTCCTAGTAGTAGAGGAACTCTCGGCCTACAACATGATTCTGGGTCGACCAACCCTGAATAATTCCAAGGCTGTTATAATCCCGTCACTTATGCTGCTTAAGTTTGAAAGGGATAATGGAACAGTCGGCTCCCTGAGGGGAGATCAGAGGATGGCCCGAGAGTGCTATCTCTCGGATGTCAAGCCCACTGTTATGGCCACTGGGTCAAGTGGAGAAAAAACAGGCCTTGACAATGTCAAGGAGAGTACGCCTGTTCAAGAAACAGGCGACAAAAAGAGAAAGGCGTCCCAGACAGAGTCCGCAAGAAAAGCAAGAAAATAGCAATCATTGGCAGAGGAGCGGCCGGATGAGTTCCGCCCTCAGCCGGCTGGGGAGCATGCGGACCTGATCTTAGACGACTCACGTCCTGACCGAACAGTCAAAGTTGGGACGACTGCTCTGAGAAACCTTGGTGACGACTTTCACAATCTGTTGAAAGAATACAAGGACATCTTTGCATTTGAAGTCCATGAAATGCCAGGCATTAGTCCTGATCTGGCAGTACATAAACTCGCTGTGGATCCGAAAAAGAAGCCGGTACGGCAAAAGAAGCGGAACCATGGTGAAGAAAGAGGTCAGGCGGCAGCCGCCGAAGTCAAAAAATTACTTGATGCAGGGTTCATTCGGCAATGTTACTTCCCAGATTGGGTTGCAAATGTGGTGCTTGTTAAAAAGCCGAATGGCACCTGGCGAATGTGTGTAGACTACACAGACTTGAACAAGGCGTGCCCCAAAGACAGTTACCCTCTGCCTAAAATTGATAACCTGGTCGACTCAACAGCCGGCCATGCCTTGATGAGTTTTATGGACGCTTATTCTGGTTTCCATCAAATTCCTTTATGGAAGAAAGATCAGGAGAAGACGGCCTTCGTCACTGATCAGGGATTGTACTGTTACACGGTCATGCCGTTTGGTCTTAAGAATGCCCCGGCTACCTTCCAACGAATGATAAACACAGTGTTCTTTGATCAGATTGGGAGAAACGTCGAGGCATATATTGATGATATGATTGTCAAGACTAAACTTCAGAAAGATCATCTGACGGACCTCCGAGAAACTTTCGCCACACTCAGGCGGCACCATGTCATGCTCAATCCCAAGAAATGTGTATTTGGAGTTGAGTCTGGGAAATTTCTCGGATTCCTTATCAATCAG